GGCGAAGAGCCTGATGGAGATCCACCGCCAGCTGCACAGCACTCGGCATTGCAGGGACGGAGTTAGTCTCCAAGCCAGGGACATGGCAATAACAGCGAAAGCAGAGCTTTGCTATTAAGCAGTTGTCATTATAGCACAGTTTATTGCACTTTTCCCCCTCCAGATCATTGAAACCAATTAAATTATTGAAATCAAGAAAGTGACTTATCTTCAGAGTACTACACTTGTCTGAGAAAATTAGATAAAACAGTACTGACTTTTCTGAAGTTTTATTGCTCGGTGTCTTTAGCTCATATGTAAGGCAGTTGTCTACATCTTTTGGGAGCGTTATCTGTGACCTGTAACAGGACTTTGTGTATATCAGCCCCTAAACTAAACTTCTGCATCTGAATGGATGTCAGATCTAATCATGCAAAAATCCATATAAATGAAAGTTACAATTCATATTTGTGGCTTTCTTACAAGTAATACTTGGCTTAAGGTAACATATTTCTTTAAATGCCCCACTCACAGACACAATGAAAATTGTTTCACAATTTAGAAGAGAGGGTTTCTTCCCTCCTGAGAAACAAGTTCGATGATTGACTTGTTTACCCTATTTGAGCAGCAAATGCTATATACACAAATGTTGTATCACTCTTACGCGCAACACCAAGCCCGTACATTATTTTAATTATTGTGAAATATTCTGTTGCAAGTAGAGAGTGGCTCTCATGGCAAATATGAACCTGGATTTTCAATTGTGTAGTACCTCCATCCAGAATTAAGATGACTAAAGGTACTGGTATAAATCTGACCTTAAGTAGCATTTAAAGACTAAGAATTTTTTCACTGAAGCTTGGAAGCCCAAGTCAAACTTTCCTTTAGAAATGCTAGTTTCAGGTATTGACTCAGAAGTACACTTCAAAAGGATCACCAACATCCACGCACCCTTTTCCTCCATTCAAAGAACTGCCATAGCGTATTTATTTTCTTTTATGGGCATCTTATTTATCACTGGACAAGCACTATACAAAGAAATAGGATATCTCTAATGCGTTAACCTAGAGTATAAACTTCAATCGCATTAGGGAGCTGAAGGCAGGGATTTTAGAAGCAGCTCACTTCAGCTCTTTTGAGAATCCTACACCAAACCCGTAATTCTGTTTATCACCTGCACTGTCCTAAAGGCATAATCTGAAAAGGAATAAAACCAATGGGACTCTTCCCATTTACTTTAATGGGCTTTGGATCAGTGCCCAAACATGTAAAGTTTGAGAGATAAATATATATTTAAATCAGTCAAGTTTTCCAAAACAGTTTCTATCGAGATCAATAGTGGAATTACTGGTCTTGAGATGATGCCCACACTTACCACTCTGCTGTACTGCTGAAATCTTAAGCAAAAATAACCTGGATTTAGGCAGTGGTAATACCAAACACAATTTAAAATATTTAGCTTTCTTGTGTTAATAGCTGCCACTAACTACTGTTGCAACACTGTCTCATGTGAATAACCATCACTAATACATTGACTGTTCCCAAAAGCCGTTTAAAGGATTAATGTATACGACTACCTGGAAAACAGTATCACACCTCCCCACCGTTCGGTTTTACAGTAGGTTTGCCTTGAAAAATAAAGACTAAATCAAGGACACAGCTAAGCTTATCATGAAAAACAATTTGATTAATGCACCAAGGCCCACAACAGGCATGTGTCAGCTTTGTACCAAGAGGCTGCTGTCCTGAACCGAGCAGTGTTAGCTGGGCTGCCGGCTCTGCCTTCGGTAAGAAATTAATGGAGGGAACAATGTTTTGGTTTAATGGGATAATGAGACCTTAAGAAATACTCACTTCTATCCCAATTTACCTGACATTTTTGTTTACCTTGCAACCACTTTTGAAACGGAGTTCAGAGTTTTGTATTTGAAACCAATATATTACACAGGGTTCATGATGATCTTGTCCTGTGTGGTTCCATGAGGAATTGCTCTGTCCCATGTCCCTTTCCTTTCTTCCCGTAGGAAAGGAACACAGAAGCAACTTCTGTGATCCTCCTTAGTCAGCACAGGGGCTGCAATTCAGCCTCAGCCTTTACCCAGGGCACACTGTGCAAATGCAAAAAAAAAAAGCCTCAACCTATCACTAGCTGAACAGGCGTACGTGAACAAAACAGCTTTAGCCTAAAAGCAATCTACTCTAAACCGGAGAAATATTGTGACATTAAAAGCACTGGAAATATATGATAGAACTTCTAGAAAGCTTTTAATCTGGATGAGTCTGAGATAAGGCTATCGTCACTTATGGGAGTCGTCACAAGCGTGTTTCAACTCAGTAATGTATTATCCAGTCTGTGTGTGCTGTATCTATACAAAAAACATTATTTGTTGCCGTTTTACAAACATTCATTGTCATTCTGCGTATTTTAAATTCAAGCTTGCTCAAGCTTTAAAGGAAGAGAATGCCATAAATAATGTTTTGGAAACTTCTGAGATTAACCAAAAAAGCTTTTCTGTAGATAAAGGTGACACTAGTTTAAAGTCCAATATATTGCCATCTCCTAGGACTAGAAGCAGGTGTTGTGGGAGGGCAGGAATCTTCTTTGTTCAAGAGTATAGAGATTTAATTTCAAGCCCTGAGGACAGAAATAAACAAGCCTAAGTCATTAGTACAGCAAAGCTGTCGCCCATTTGCGCCTCAGACCTGCATAGCTCTGATCTGGGGCAGATGTGCAACAATTGCTTTCCATTTCTGGGAGGCAAGAAAGGGCATTGCTACAGCAGATCAATTTTTAAAAATTGGCCTCTGCTTGAAACTCCTCAGGTTTGAAATTAAGTTTAACTGATATGAAGAAGAAAATGTTTAGTGTGAGCATCAAGCAGTCAAAAGGGAAAGTACCCTCTGCTCCCGCTGTGCTGGCAGATATATCTTTCTGTCACCCTTCATAATAATCATCTCTCTGCCTTTTCACACCTTCTAACCTGCAGCGGTCAGCCAAAGCCTATCTGCTTCTACCCTGCAGTTAAGACCCTCCTATCGATCTTTGCCATACTGCTTACAAACCTACCTACATACTCATATGTAAGAACTGCTTGTTTTATTTCACTATGCCATTTGATTATTTTAATTATCTAACTTAGAATTAGAGTTTCTCAGAGCAAGGATAATTTTTCACCGCTTAGAAAGCATCAAGCATCTAGTATGCGTGTAATTGAGGTCCTAAAGTCATTAAGGCAATAATACAGGAGAGCTGCAAAAAATTATCAGAGAAAACACAGACAGAAGAGATGAGATACAGTTCTGGCAAAGAAAAAAAAACACCACCAAACCCAAAATTTAAAGTCTATTCTTCAAGTCTTTGCCTTAATTACTTAACTCTCCTCAGCTTGCTTTACTTCATGAAGTTGTCCACTGATTCTTACATCCATGCCACTAGGTGCTAAATTGGCTCTGACTTAATGAACATATATTTGATATTACCCATTATAGTGCTACTATGCAACTATGTTCTTTTAGGAGGAGATTTTATTTACTTTAAAATTTACATGATACTGAAAAAGACAAGTTTTGACCTTGTAAACGATTACGCACTCGAGATTTATTTTTTTAAAAGCATATGTAAAACTGAATAGTCCTACTGAATTGAGTGTGACTAACGTCTCAAATCTTTGCAGGATTTGGTCTGGAAAATTACACATGCAAATTATTCCACAACAGGATATTTTGCAGATTAACTTAAACTTGAGGATGAGCCAAAATACTAACATTATTTCAGTAAGATATGTAAATTGGTTGGAGTGAAGTCCATTTAATAGTGAGAAAATATTTTCCAGTAGAAGTGATAAGACAAACACTCAACCATATACTGCAGAGAGCAGTATTTCCTGAGCAGAAGCTGCACCTGAGGTTGGAAACCAGCTCGTCGTTTTCTTCCTATAATCTGACCTTGCTCCTTAATGAATAGCAAAGCTCCTGGCAGAGAAAGAATTAGGGCTTGAGTTTTTAGAAAAAATACCTCTTAAAACATTTCCGTCAGTTTAGGCAAGCACTTGAATAGTCAGTTACTTTTCCCAAATTTATCCAGAACAGGTATTAAGCTAGAAAATGTAGGAAATTAGGTTGTCTACAGAAATTTCTTACCCTTCAGACTCAAAAAGGAGATTAGTGTAAAACAATGTCAGAATATTGGGGGGGCGGTTCATATCCAAAGAAACATGAAATTTTTTTTTCATTTTTTAGTCCAAGGGAAAAAGAGCCATGATTGCCATGATTAATATTTTGACACCACCTAATCCAATCAAGCATCCAGCTCAGCTGCTAATTGTCATTTGCATATGGCTTCACAGATACAAAGGAATGTCTGGTAGAAGTGTGAGATCAAGTTCGGGGTCAGTACTTACTTAATCTGAATTAATGAATATCAGACCTTAGGAACACACATACTTCAGAAAAAAATTGCTGCAAACATCAAATTCTTCTCTGGCCTCACACTTTTATTCCTCTTTTTTCACACTTGCATTCCTGTTTTTAGGGTTAGAACATGAAACTCTTACAGAAAACCTTAGATTTGGAAGAGGGTAAATAACTGACGAATAACTTGACTAGACCCAAACTATTTGGTGTCAATCAGATCTGGATTTGATCACTCTCAGTTTTAAAACACTCGAAGAACATCCAAATACCTAGAAACTTCAGCTGGACTTCAGTCAGAAAAATGATTCAAAACAGACAAAAAAAGCATAAAAATAACACCGTTGATTTCAGTTACTTTGATGAAAAACACAGGACAAGCTAGAGAGATGGGATCCTAGTTAAGGTCCAAGCGCTGTGTAAGGACGGGATCCCAAGTAAAGGCTGAAAATGTTGCCCCTAAGAAAAAAGGGAGTGCATTGTCAAAACTAATAGCATGTAGCAAAGGCAGTTTCACTCTGTATATGGCATTCTTTATACACACCTTCCTTTGTAAGAGGGGGGTTATTTTTCTTCCAGCTTTGCTTACTTCTTATTTCTTTTTTTCTTGCCTTCACTGCACACTCGCTCACAGAGTTGCCTTGCTCTTTGTTCATGATCATGAATTTCTTTTGGGAACAGGCTTTTCTCATCAAATACAGCTTTCAAGGCTACAAAACAGGAGTGAACTCCACATCAAAATCAGTTATATATTTGGTGAAGTACACCGTGAAAATCAGGCTGCTGGAAGAGGAAAAATATGAAAGAAGCAGACCTCAAGCACTATGCTTCACAGAGAACAACACTGAATTTTCTGCTTCCACTTCTACTGACAAGTTTAGCTTTTTGGTAATTCTTCTCCCAGTTCCCTAACTGGGAACCAAGGCTTGTTCACTCCTGAGGACTGCGCTGTACCCATCTCTCCCTTGCACCCTTTGAGTTCATTGGCCAGGTCTAACAAACCTGATGGAAGAGTGAAGATCTCAGGGAACTTAATTCCTATGAAACAGGAAAACAGATGGACTGGATGGAGGAGAAAAAGCCTTTCCCTTGGAGAGGTACGGCAAGGTAACTTTGGTGCCAGTAAAAGAGCAGGAGAGGACAGCCCTTCTTTGGAGATGCCCCCATTCCGGGGAAATCCTCAGCCAGAGCCAGCACCTTGTTGGGCACTGAAGTCAAACCTAGTCGATATCAAGAGAGAAATCCCTGGGAATGTGCCTTCACTGGTGCTTTTGTAACTGCTTATTATATTTTATTTCTTCCCCATTTAAGTCTCTGTATTAAAAACTAGCCGGAGATCCTGAAACAACCAAAGGGAGAGGCCTCCCTCCCTGTACATGCTGCCCATGCCAAAACCCGTCCAGTGTTGAGCAGAACTTTGCTTTTTACTTTTTCACAGAAGCAGTTAATCACTGCTCGACTCAGGGAGACTAGACTGGCTTTTTTTTTTTTCCTTCTCCAAATCTCCATTCTTTTAATCTATTATAACTTCTATCCTGACATTCAGGGGCGAAAAAAAAAATCAAATTATCCTCTATTGAAACAAGAGCATTAATACTGTTCACTGAACATCTGCATGACTGAGCAGGTTTACCCTGCGACCATTTATTTACATATATACAGCAGGCTGATCTTCAGGGATTCCTCCAGTCCCAGATTAAGGACAGGAGTCTTTCTTCTCATGTGTATATATCTCTCTCACTAAAGTCAGACTAGTTCATGAATAAAAATTAAATGATATTCACTGAGCTGTTATTATGACACCTGATAGTATCTCATTTGAGCAGTGTAGGCTGGAAGTCTGTACTACTTTCTTTGGGAAAGAGGCCTGAGGAATTAACTTGTTAAGAATTTCATACACTTGTATATTGTTAACAAGACGATGAGTGTTAGCTCATCGGAACATAGATGAGCTGCAGAGATCAAAATTGCTGCAACCATTTAAGATGAAAGTTCACTTGCCTTTAACAAGGTATGAATCCAGTACGTAAAGACTGATTTTTATTCCCAAGTGATTGTTAACAGTGTAGAGACCATTAAAAAAAAACCCAAAATCGAAGGTACACAATACTCACTGAGCCCTGCTCATTACTGCTTATGCAGAAAACGATACCTTTTGTGCACAGTAGGAAACCAAGAAGCAAAAAATTCAAGACAAGTTTTTGTCCAAACTGTAGAATCTCACCTTACAGCTGTAATTACAGGTACTTAGCTCTTGGGAAAGCTACAGGAGTTTATCTATTGATTTCAGTAAGCTTAGGATGAAACTTGCAATGATTTAAAGGATTAGAATTGTAAAGATGTAAGCTGCATTTCTGGCTTCAGTTAATTAAGAGATACATTAAATTAAAAAAAAAAGCTAATTAATACATTACCAGGGTTTAATACTTAATTGGTGTATTTCAGATACAAGAAAGCAATTTAAACACACACTTAAATGTGAACAGTTTTGACTAGGAATTGTTAAAGTTAGCTGCAAAAAGAATCTGATACCAATTTACTGATACCCTTATCCAAAAGGCAGCAGAGTGCTGCTCTTGGCTTTAATGAGAGATGGTTCAAAGCCTCAAACAACAAACCAGTTCACAGGGCCTGTGTCTACAGTACAGCCATTGCAGGAAAAATTCTTAATAATCAGTGTGCTTGAGGTATAACTGTGTCCACAATACATTAAAAATACTCAGTAGCACAAACTGGACAGACGTGACAGAGGTTTGTATTAACAATCCAGCTGTTTTCTCTATATAGTGGTCACTGAGAAGCCAAGTCCACTTAGAAATAAAATACAGATTTACTAACAGCTGTGCTTATTTAGTTTGATAACGGTGGTATTCACACATAGCAATTACACTTCATGCAAGTTTTGCTTTTAAAATTGCACTGCCCACACTATTTTTATGGCATTATCTCTCATTTAGCTCTCATTTTGAGCAACCCACAGTGATGCAGAAAGTGCAAGACTTATTTTTCTTTTGCTTGATGAGGACGAGCTTTGGATAGTTAGAGCTAAAATAGTGGGAAAGTTCTGAAATGCTGGAATCGTCTATATTAAAAGCACAGTATTTTACACTTTGCCTTTCACGGGAAAAGCAGAGAGAGGTGGGGAGAGACGGGGAGTGAGAGAGACACCGCTAATGAAATCCCTACTGAGAAATAACATCCCCTGGTCAGATGAAAACAGGCACCTGATTAAAAAAACTAAAGCTCATATCACAATTAATTCAGCTTCAAAGTATTTAATTTAGAGATTGCACATTTGGCCTTGCTGAGTCAGCTGCAAAGCATCTAACACAATCAAGTTCTTTCACCTCATTTCTTTCCACAAGCTTAGCTATTGACCTTTGCTATCCATCTTACCGAAAGCTGATAGTGTCTCTCAGAAGAGCACCAAATACTGGCCTTCGAATAGCTGATATTTGTCTCTACAAACCACAATCAATTGAATTCTATAATATGCATTGTTATAAGTGTCATATATCCTTCATACCATAGTCAGATCGTTAGCTATCAGGTTTTGAGATGAGGTTTTCTAAAGAATAGGGAGAAACTGCAAAGCAAATTGCAAAGCCATCAGAAAGCCTCATCAAGGATGCAAAGACACTAATGAATGCACAAGTCAACTTCTTTAATGAATCAAATTAAGCAGTTATACAAACTTTGCCAAGAGCCAGCTTGAATTGAACAGTGGAAAGGTGTCTCTGAACCAAGACGATGCCTAGATAGCAAACACCTATTTTAAGGAGACTGATACAGCTGACATTTTATTGGGACTTTGTTTCCTTGTTTAGTAGGAACACCAAAAGCAGAATGTTGTGTCTGAAGGTGCTTGGCAAAGACAGAGAACAGAAGTAATTGGGTTTTTCCAGCCTCCTTTTTAGTACTGTGTTTACTTTCAAAACATTTCCAACTTTGTTCTGTTTCATCAAAAGTTTCTTGTTAATGACCAATTAAGCCATCAGCAGGCACTTACACATTCAGCGTTGGTCAGGGAAATGAGTTGTCTGATGCTGCTGGGTCTTGACTGTAACTACACTGAAGAGAAAATTATTTCTCAAGTTAGCTGAAGCAGCCTCTTGCCCAGCTTTCATTCTCCCATATTCAGTCATTTGACAGTTGAATGAAGCTTATGTTTTCCAAATGGACTGAGGGAAGTCTCTCATCTTATTAAACATCATACCTGGGCAGAAATCATCTGGTACAATATCCAAATATCATTTCACTCTCATACTCTTGGATTTATCTTTTAAAAATCTGTACACAAATTAAAATCCTTTTTCTTCGGTCAAACAAATTCAGAAGTCAGTATTTCAGACTCATTTTTTCAATTAACCTGTAAAGCCTGATCCAGTGCCTGATGAAAGAAGTTCTGATTTTTCCAATCAAATTTAGTGGGTTATGGAACATGCCCTTACAAAGTAAGAAGTTGTTGAGATAGGATTATATGCTGCTAAGCAATAAATCTTGGAGTTCTCTATTACCTTCATCTCATTTTAGCACAGATGGTAAAAGCTAGTGACCTTTATTTTTTGCCTTTCTGTGCTGAGAGCTGGAGTAATGAGAATATAATGGAGGTCTACTTATTTTCCAACAGGCTAGGAAGACTCAGATTTTCAGAGCACCACTCCTCTGTCTTTTCCCTAAAGTATTTCTCAGGGAGAAGAGCAAAGTCAGACTCATTTGTGCCCTCCATCTCCTTGAGGGCTCCAATTTTCAATGACTTAAACACAGCTTAAAAATCCAGTTTTACTGAAAAACCAAATGCAATTGTGCTTCTGTAAGTTAACTTTTCTCATCTAATCTTCATAATATTACTCGACCAGGCAGACAATATCGTTACAGGCAAAAAAATGTTCAGGACGTCTAAACAGATGTGTAGGATAAAAAAATTATTATTATTTGCTCCTTAAGATAGAGTCAATTCTTTACTATCTTTTAGGGGGGAAAAAAGTTACCTTTCTTTCCTAAACACGGCTTCCACATCAGATAAAAAGCCAAAACTCTGCCTGCCCTAGATGGGATCCTTCCTAAATGAGATGAACGCAGCTAATACAGTAAGTGCTGGGAAATTGGGCCAGCCTCTTGAAGATAACTAATAGTGTTAATTACTACTTCGTTTTGTGAAAACAAGTCTGTACCAAGAAATCAGGTTCTATGTTTCATTTGTTGCTGAAATATTTTTATGTCATTTGAAACAATGATACTAAGAGATCCAGTTGGGCCCATATCAAAAGCAAAAATGTCTGTGGCACAGCTGAAATAGATCTTTACCTGGCTGCAAGTCACAACACCCATGGGCTCCCCAGACACGGCGAACTGAATGCAAGCATCTGCCTCAAGGTCAGGCTCACGGGAGGAATCTGTACCTATCGATCCGGGGAGCAATTATGTACCGTTTGCTCGTCAATGTCTACATTTAGATGTTGCACATGCTGTCCCCTTCAATCTTTTTCTTAGCTATAGAACTGTAAGGTTCATCCATATTTGAAAAGCATTTGGGCGGGGATATTTTTTATATACATACATTTTATATATTTATTTAAAAATATTTATATAGTTACATATGTATATATGTACGTAAATATGGCATGAAGCAGACCTTTAGGGAAGAATGCAGAATAAAAGTTTTATTGCCTGCCAGCTAAGTAGTAAGATTTAAGCAGCCACAAGAACACTTAAGTGGTGCTCTGCTTTTAGATAGATACCTTTTATAACATGGCTGAAGAAAGAGGTTTGAAACTATAACTATCCTTCAGTAGGAAGGCTCTTATTCTTTTGTTCTATCCATTCTGAAAAGACAAATTAAAAACCAACCCCAGAATATTCTTAGAATGTGGTTAGATATACATGTAACTACAGAAATTATATCAAAATAGCAGTTTACCACTTCACTACTTCATGTTGTTTTGGCATTTAAACGTTTCTTTCCTCTGTGAATTTTTCCAGAAAAATGAAACGCTTTTTGGCTAAAGTATAAGCAGAAAATCCAGAGGGTAGCATGTACTCTATCCTTACCCTGAGAAGGCTCCCCCTTTCAGAAATAGCCGCCATTTCCACAATAGGATGAAGGGATGGGACATACAAATGTGTTTGCAAGTCTATGCAGCTTCTGTTTCAGCGACGTTAAGCAACAGAACTAGTTGTAGCAATTTACGGTCACATCAAAAGCCCTTTAAATCCAAGAGAAGGTTTCTTCACAGTTTTGGAGGGCTTCAGATCAGGTAGATAGCTATTTGCAAATCATATGTGAAATGACCCACTCGCTGTGCAAATACAAGCTAGATGTTTAGCAAGTGAGCCAGAAATTCAACTTGCATAAATAAGGCTCCCAATCATCTTTTTTTAATGACATTTTAATTACGTAAAAATTAGTAACTGATCTAGAGGTTTATACATTACCATAAATGTCCCCCAAAAAGAACATACTCTCAGAAATGCCTCACGTCACTGCAGAATTGGAAACTAGGACATGTTGATGTGATCCCAAAGCAATTTCTACTAAAAGCACGATTTCTGAGGAATCTGGCTCTAACAAAAGAGAGAATCCTTCATGAGGATTCACTTTCCAGTAAAACATTTACAAGAACACCCAAAAGCCAGTTTCTTTTTCATGTGCTTGTAAAATGTACCAAAAGTGGAACAACTTGATCTGTTTATCTTTAGGCACTTCTAAAACTCAGGCAAAAAAAACTCTGCCATCCCCTCCCTAAAGAGGTCTCCCAAGGCACCCATTGGGCTGGAAGGTGGAAGAAGGAGCTGGCACCTCTCCGTGTTCATTACCATGGTTGGGAAGAGGCAAAAAATGGCAACGCCTCGGAATAATGCAGACCTCACAAAATGACACTTATTTAGCAATTTGCTATTTTCCTATCAGAATATTAAAAATTGTGGTGTTGGGCCCAGTTCAGGTCTGATTTCTAACTACTTCATAGAGTGAAATCTAGGAGGAATGCTCTGAAATTAGAGTCTAGATTTAAAGTATATTAAAAATGTTTTTCACTCGGTGTTCTTTTTACCTGCTGTTCAGTCTTTAACAAATACTTTATCCAATATAGAAATAACCCCACATATAACAAAATTACCTTCAATTTTAATTAATTTTGATGATTCAGATGGTATTGCTAAGATTAAATTTGTGAATGTTATCTAAAAAAGTATTTTCATACTGTAAGTGTTTCAAGATTTTATGTTCAGAAAATTTAATGCAAGGTTATATTTTAGTACAATTGCATTTTACTCTGCTTGTATTTTGTATAGTCCATGCTACAGAAGGTTATTGAAGAATGAAATGCTTAAAAGCATACCAAAGCGATAGACTAATACATCATATTGTCAGCAGGACTAAGTATTATCTTTTGTAACAGCATCTAACAAACCACACATCATTTTTGAGAAAACAGGGTCCATACATGTAATAATAAAGCCATGTACACTATATTAGCAAACAGGCATCACACTATACCATCGCCTTTCCATTTCAAGGAGACACTTTCTAGCTCATAGACAAGATGCACTCAGCACCTGACATCTAGGCGATGCCGGAAAATTCCATTTGCTCTTTGCACATCTCATGAATCCATGTTCCTAATTGGAGGATGGGGAGAGCAAACCATTAAAAACTTGAGAAAGCACATGAATTTACTTAAAATATAATTTCTGTTACGTTAACAAACCAATGGTTCAAATTGGAGACAATTTCAGTGCTTTATTTTAACATAAAATCTTGAAGTCTTCTAACATTCTCAAGAAAATTGGGTCTGAAGTGTCCTGTATTTTTCGGCTTTTTATCCAATTTTGACATACTAGGTCAAAGCGTACCACTGCATAAACCCACTTTTATAAGTTACTTACAAGTAAAATTACTGTTTATCCTCCATACCAAAATTAGGAGATTCCTCTTCAAGAAAAGGAGTTGCTTTTCTTTGTGTCTTCATCCTCATCAGCCTTTTTTCTTGTACTTGTTTTTGACAACATCCTTCCTATGAAAGACAAGAAGATTTTCAATTTGCTGATTTTCTTCCTAAAAGCATGGAGCAAAGAGCTGCTTGAAGCTTGAATAATTTCTTGTAGTTTTCAAATAAAATAGGCAGACTCTCCCGTATATAAATATATCAGTTGTCACCCTTTTCGCAAAAGAAAAAATAAGAGACAAAGAAAGCAAGCACATATCTCCCTTGAGACATCTGTAGAGCTATAGTATTTATTTCAAGCATGGCAGTTCTTAAAAGTGTTGTCTTTAAAAGTCAGAATAACTACTGTACCACAGCTACTTTTTATTTGTATTTCATATGTCTACCCAAGTACTGTCTAAAGAGGGAAAAGTTTTTCCTAAGATATTCCAGCCTTCCACAGAAAGAGCTAGTACAGCTGAACAGAAAGAGTGGGCTGGGTACCTTCTCACTGGGACCCAGACAGCAGTCCTGATCAAAAAAGAAAATACCCAGGTACCTGAATGCAGACAGGAGGAGTCTGAAAGCTTCCCGAGGACCATTGCTTACTGCTTGTAATCCTGGCCCTGGAGGCTTGATAAGGAAAAGTCTCCTTCTGCTAGTCGCTTTTGGTGGTCGGTGGGAGGGGAAATAGTTTTTCTTTAGCTGCCTGGTTGAACACTCCTTAGAGTCAGTTAAAGGGCTCCCGTGGACTTCACTCAATAGCTTAGACGTGAAGTTTGAAGCTTTGCTCTATTTTTCCCTTTGCTAAAAAAAAGATTTAAAAAAGCCACAAGTAAAACCCAATTCCTTTGCACTTCTCCTATCGAATTAGAGAACAAAAAATAAAGTGGACTGATTTCTTTGCACTCTGTCTATATATTCCATACTTTCACCTGCCTGAGCTGTTAGGAGACCCTGACTCGCTTTATCAGTAGCCATGATAATGGATCCAGCTCCAGCATGAGCATCACACCCTGCCATCAGCTGCCTCCCCAGGGTATTGCAAAACTTCCATGGGAAACAAAGTTTGCTCCACGCTCCTCCTAAAACACAGGGGTGGCCAAATGCGCAGGCCGAGCAATTCTACATAGAAGCAGCCTCTGTTGTGCATGAACTCATTGTTCCCATCACTTTTTAAATATCAAATGGGACAAATCTGCAAATAAATTTCATCCACATGAAATACATATTGCAAGTTGGTTGCTAGAAGCATTCATTTCCCTGAGCAATGCGAAATGCAAGAGTTACAGCTCAAAAAATGCTCTTTCAGAAATTTAACCTTTATTTTCTATTCATGAATACTGTGATCCAAAGTAAATCTCTGTGTAAACACTTTCACTCCTATAAAGAAAACTAACAGGTGAAACTGCATATAGATGCAGGAGAAAAAAAAAATCAATAGCCCTATAAACAGATTTCTTCAAACATAGTAAATAAATCCACAGCTTTTCAAATTGTTTTGTAGACATATGATGCAGATTCAAAGAATGCCCAGTAAAACAGAGAATATATTTTACATTCTCAAGACAGAAAATAGCTGAAGATACCAGTACAAAACCAAAATGTGCCATGACGTATATCCTATGCAACTTCACTGACTTTAGAGCAATTTCATGGGCTATAAATCTGTGCATATTATGATTCTATGTTTGTTGCCAGACTGGGTTTAGACTATTTAAATTCCCTGTAAGTATCAGTTATGGTCAAATCATTTCACATAAAAAGTGAAATGGATGCATAACAAGACTTAATGCTTTGTTGTTTGAAAAACTATTCCAACATGCAATTAAAAACTCCAAGGTCTCTAACTGAACTGTTTCTTTAGAAAGAGAAGATTAAAGATCATTACATACTTAATAAATCAGGGCCATTAATAAACCCCCTTTTCACTAAATTTCATTTTATGCATTATAGACAAATTGAGCCAAGCCAGCGTACAGAAAATACTTTAAAACACCTGTCAATGAAATATTCCTTCTACTGTCTAGAAAGAAAAGCCTCCTAATAGCTTGCTGAAATCAGTGTCAGTCATTAAAATCGCCTGCAGAGATTGTGTGCCTTCTAGAAGTCCTTCTTTAAGCACAACCACGTTGCTGTTTTAGTCACTGCATATCTACAAGAGATATTCCCAGCTTTTATCAAGGAGCTTGTGTTTGTAAATAGGCATTACAAGAACTCACAGCTAATTTTCCCATTTTTGTACTTAACTGCTTTATGAATCCCAATCTCTTTTGAAGAGAATTTGCACATTCGTACAATTTTACTATAACGAACTAAATTCTGCCATCCTTCATCATGAGAAAGAGAATCATATCCCGGAGATTAATCACTGAATTTCAGTAGAACCATTCATTGACTAATGATCAAACTCAACAAACAAGGCAGCAGATGGTGGCCATATGAGATTTCTAGTGCCTTCTTTAATGAGCGCAAAACACAGTCTCTACCTCATTTGCACATCCCAGCCACTACATCAATGAGTTGTCTACACACAAGCAGCTGTCTGAACAGAAAAATTGTTGCCTAATTACAGGGCCAGATCCTCAGCTAACGTAAATTTTTCTTGCTCCTTTTAGATCAGCAGAGATGGAGAATTTTTATCACCTAAATATTGGGTTCATGATTTCTGGAGAGGGTCTGTGGGACTGCAGGATCATCAGCAGGCACCTTTTCCAGGGACCCCCAGGGCTGCAACAACCAGCTCCCCAGCAGCATTGGCAATAACTCTACACCAGGTTACTCAGGATACCAGCAGCAGCAGCAGGCTGAAGACGACCCCTAAAAGCTCAATAAGTTTATTGTTCCTTTGACATATCGGTGACATTCACGGTATTGTAAGCCTTCCTCATCTAAAATATTTAGCTCCTTAGAAGCAGTCAAACAGATAGGCACCCTAGCTGGCATATACACGCAGTAGACTAATTTATTTCTTACAGCCCTTCTGGGTGCATAATGGGCATAAATATCTGTATTTATTTTCCCATCATACTGACTGGGAAGCTGGGGAGAGGGATCCAGAATAAGAATCATATAAAGAAAATGGCTTGACAAATACGCTCAGTACACTTCCTTCAGTGGAGTACTCGACGTTATTTCTCATCTACTGTGCTGCAGTTTAGAGTGGGCCATAATTACGGACTTCCAACTGGCGTGTTGATTATTAGATATTAGATGTTAGTCTGTAAAGACTGTCAAACCAATGAAATTTTCAGGTTTTGAGTAGTCTCTAGGGTAGGGCTCTGCAAGACTCGGTTTCGTGAGCAGTTAGTGTTATTTATAGTCTAGAACTAAACAAGGCAGAAATTAAGGGAATGCTCCTCGCTGAAGGTAATGATATGAAAATGCTGATGTAGGTCTGTGACAGTAGACAGAAGCAATAGACTTGAGAATATATTGAAAGTGTGGAGGTGAATAGAGTGAGCACCACGTCAAGGCTTCTTTTTGTTACCCTGACAGGACAAAGTCGTAAATAATCCCCCCCAGTCTACACTCAATTTGATAATTTAGTAGCACCCGGGATATTATATGCACAGGAAATATAGCACGTCACCTCCAGTTCTCAACAAAATCACTTGGATAAGTTGCTTTTTCTGCTGATTTGGATTGCAGAGGCTTTGGAGGATTGAAGCACAGTTTAAGGTAGGCATTTTCAATACTGCTATTCCAAGCAACTTTTCCACCATAGCTCCCTGGACTAAACAACACTAACTTTAAATGAATCAGCCATCTTGAGCCAAACTTACAGCAAAAAAAACAAAAATTCTTACCAAACCTAATATATACGTGTGCTATATGAAAGTTCACCTTAAAAATGTTAGCAGAACTTGCATTCCTATATGGGTGTAACACTGGTCACTGAAAAAAAAAAAAGGTGCTTTTTATAAAGATCAGACTATTAAAATATTGGTAAAGGTTTTCTAAGGAAGTGAGAAATGGGTCTTAAGGCCTTTGCTGTTCCGTATATCACTAGCAACTCCCACTCCCCCACCACTTAACCCCTATCCTTGGAAGGGAAGCGATTTCATTTCAGGTTCTTACTGCGGAGCGAGACCAGTGTGTATCATCTAAGGGTGATACAGAGTTGTGGCGTGAATATGAAGCTCTGCATTACAAGGTTTACATTTGGGACCATCTCAGAAATGCTCAATGCTGACTGCCTGTAGACTTTGAACTAGTTTCCTGCCTGGATTGATTCTTTCAGTCTTTGAGGCGGGAGGATGGGAGAAACGGGGAGGAGTGAAGAATTTCTCACTGCCCCTATTAGGCCAGTAATAAGATACATTCTCAAGGGCTTTCAGTCCTGCCTCCTTAAAGTTGAGACGCGAGCTTTGGCTCGTGTGTTCTTACAGTGCCTGTGTAATTGCCATTTCTATTAGCAAAAATTGAACTTGCAATCTTCAGTATCAAAAAGCATCTAAATTAAAGGCTGAAATGCTTTACCTGCTATCTCTGCTACAACGAGCTGCTAAGAACACACGCCAACTAAGCCAGTGAGTTATTTAAACAGCTAACAACATACCGATTCAAAATGAAATCAATAAGAAGTAAAGATTACATATAGCGCTGCATTTGAAATCTTTAAATTTTTTTGTGTGTACATTGTACTTCCATGCAATATTTGCTACACAGAAAATGTTATTTTGATGCCTGTACAATGATATGAATGCAACTGTCCTTTCAGTCCCTCCACTGTAAATCACACACATCCCTACACCCCTCTGGGAAAAAAAAAAGCTTGTATTTGAAAAAAAACTTGTCCACAGTACAGAAACTCAATATAAACATACATTTGTCCTTGACTCTCAAAATGATCCAATTTGGTCACGTCTGGTAAGTAATACAGCTTGGCCACCAGCCAGTGCCTCGGTCCTCCCGCGCAGTGATAGAGCCAGCCTCGTGTGATAACGAGGACACGTTCCCGGCTGATCTGTGCGGCAATAAACATTCTGCTATCTGTAACGAGAGTGCGTGGCAGTAAAATGCAGCGTGGAGGGTATGATACTAATACCGGCCCCCCTTTCCCTTCTTCAGCTTGAACAGAAAATTGCTTCACACTGTTCAGGTGGAAGGCTGTAATTACCCTCATAAAAGATGCACAAAAAAACCCCAGTCAGAAACAAATTAATCTGGTCACGCCTTACTACTACAGAGAAGTGTTTTATTAGTATTGTCTTAAACATGATTATTATTTCTAATAAGTTGAAGTGAATTTTGAACTGAGTTGCCATAAAAATGTAGATCTTACCACCTGAAGAAGTGGTGTCGATGCTTTTCCAATGAACAGTGCTTAAGAATATGTAGTACTTACACAGAATTGTATGAAAGCCAAGGAAATTTCAGTTAAGCACTGCATTGATAAAATTCTTTCCATTTCTGTTTATCTATTGATTGGAAAGAGACAAACTGAACCAGATAGCAAAATTTGTATCTCCCCAAGGGACCACAATAGCAAGATTATATAGGATACAGGTGAACATGGCAAAGTTACAATCAGGGAAAACAGACAGCTGTCTTTGTACCTATGGTAATTTAATAAGACTTTGCCAGATAGAAATAGGAGGTAGAAATAATCAGTAACAATAATATTTTCTTTAATTTTACCATTCGCTTTTAGGAAGAAAGTAAAGGCAAGTCAGTCCAGTGATCCCAGCTGAAAAATTATAGGTTCAGTAGGCTGGCAGGAAGAAAAATAAACTGATCTTCACCAAAATAGACGCCTTTCAATCCTGTCTAATGTGCAGATTAAAAACAGAATTTAGTCTGTCTGCAACAATATTTGCATAGTACAGCAATGTTTTATTGTCTGTAGATTAACATTTACTTTCTATTCACCACGCCAAATAAAACTTAACTTTATTTAAAAGAATCAAAGCCATATCTACAATTGGAAAAAGCAACAACTCATTGAAAGGACACTGTAGAAAATAAAACAAACTCCATCACTCTAGTTAGAGCCTTAAGTGGCTATGCGAGAACACAGATGAGTTGTTCTCAAGCGAAGTCACCCAGGATGTTGGCCTTTTAGCGCACCGTAAAGCCCAGGATAACTGACTGGCTCCAGAAAGCTCAGGCAGAAACTCAGTACTCGAATGGTTCCAGAAAGTGTGCTGACAGCTAACGGGGATTCATTTAATCTAGTTGTTAGTCACCTGTATGTTGACTGTCTCTAAACTGGTTCTCTAGTCTCCTACTATGGTCAATGGCGCTTCAGAGAGCAGTTCATCCCCCCACCCACATAAGCAAGCTAAGAACATGGTCAAGCCTATTCTGGTTGAAGACAAAACCTACATTTGCTGGAGACAAAAAAATAAAGAAAAAAAAAATCAAGACAAGCATTTAGATGATTGAATTTGGGTGAGGTGAAGTTTAGACCCAGATCTCAATTGAAAACAATGTAATGATGAATATTATTCTCAGTTCATTGCAAACATCATGGATTCAGAGGTTCAAAGGGAGTTTTAGCTACTTACGAGCCATGATTACTTTGCAGGCATGTGTGAACAGCAACAGTATGTTCCCACCTTGCAGCTGGGAGTTATTACATAAAAGCTGTAAGTACTATAAATACACAATGCAAAATATAGAGGTAGCATGCACCCTTGGTACTAAAAGGCATTTTTCCCCATTTCCAGTCCATTGCCAATACACTGTATTGAGCATGCTTTTGGCCATAACTGCTTATTTTCCTTGCTGAATTTACATCCTAAAAGGCACATAAAGATATTTGGTTTGAAAGTTTCAAAGGAGACAAAGACACAAAAGCAATTCATCCCTTTTTCTTCCTCATCTCACAGTGAACAACTGCTGTGTAAGTTATCTCTTCAGATAAAGCAACATCTGTATTCTTTGAAATTCTAAGTTTACAAATGAAATGTTTGCAAATTAAGTCTCAATATTTTTCATAATAATGGTATAAAAATTTAGCAGAAAAGTGCTTTTTATAATTTCAGTTCTTTGATGATCTTGAACAATTTTAAAGTGCACTTTCTTCTCTACTATAAAGCAGAGAGAACAAAGCCTTAGTAAGTAAATATTGTGGCAATCCTTACAATAGCCTGAATATGGACAGACCCATGGCTTGAAATAGGATTCGCTCTGCAGAACTGGTGCCTTAGTTCGCAAGAGTTATGGTAAGGCATTTCATCAACTGTGCTGCGACTTTTAAAGCAATATTCAGTGATGTGCAGCCAGACCTAAATCTTCTTCCTGCACTGAGTTGCCAACCAGCCAGTGAGTTACAAAGCTTTGAGAAAATTAGACTTTGACAGATTTTTATCTTAAAAAAACTGAAGCAAACAATACATTTCAACAATATATCTTTTCCTGCTTTTTCTTATAATGTGTACGGTACCTGTCCCAACATGTAACCGTTACCATCCTCTTTAGTACCAGGATCTTGGAGATGCCAACTGCTCTGTCCTTTCCAACACTAAGTTCATGATGACAGTGAAATCAAACTTCTAGTTAAGAAAAAAAAAACAAAAAACCCAACACCTTAGTATAGGCAAAGCAGAAAAATGCTCTCGTACTTTCAGAGTCAATAAAGCAATGAAGGAATATAGCAAAACCAAGTGTGATATAAGCAAAAAAAAAAAAGGCGACAGGAATTACTAAGTCACATACTAGCATGATTAAGTCATGTACCTCCCATTATGGAGTTTTTTCCATCAAGACACAGAAGAAAAGAGCACTGACAGTATCCCCTATTTTATGGGCAGAGGAAACAGACAAAAATTAAATTACACGTTGCAGGTCATAAGGTAAGACAGTAGCAGAACTGTGTATCAGAGGCAGGATATGAACCAATGATATGATAGAAGGTGTAAATTTTATCCAAGTCCCCATGCTTCTATTTGCACAATTCAATGCTTCGAAGGAAACTCCTCTGTTTTTCAAGTAATCCTATGCATATTCAGCAATTCTGACATCTCCAGAATATGGCAGACTTACTGCTCTTACGCAAAAGCATCTATTTCATGAGCAATAAAACTAACGTACTGAGACATATGAGATTCAGCATGTGTTCCATAGATTGCTCTGGCTACGCACACTGTCTGCAATTGCAGGATACTGTCAGCTTGGCTTACAAGTTAAAACACTAACCAATGGTATAGTAATTAGTACTCTGCTACCTAAGCAGTGGCATTGATAGGTACATGTGGCCTCTATTCCCTTTCAGAGGGCTGTAGACACCCCTCCAACCCAATGCCTCGCTGTTTTCTCAATCACTGCTCATAGGGCTTTAGAGATACCTACCTATCTCCAGTGAGTAGGCTAAGGACTGAGGGAGAATTCAGGTCACTGATATGCCCCCTCCTAACTCAATGATCATCTGTGCTTGAACACACTCACATCATATGCAATGATTTTTTTTTTTATGTATAACTGAGTTTTCCCTGCACTAGCCCAACATCATGCTAAAACCCAATAAAATAGGGTCTGTATATTGCCACGCACCAGCATGTGCTTTTCCTAGGCTGATACTCATTAATTTACAGTCTGGTTTCTACAGATTAAAATAGTTTTTCAAAAGATGCAGTTTGGGGAGATATTGGTAGTACATCTCATTTTAAATGTAAAATAATTCATGCAGCGATAATTTATATTGACAGTAATTTCAGATAAGATGTATTTGCCATTAAAACTGGAATGCATTTCATCTATCGGTATTCCAACTATGCGTATTTCATGGCAGGAATTTATTTCAAAGGTGTTGCATACATTTGTTTTATGTAAGTAAGATTCAGGGAGGCTTCATCTTCAAGTTTCATTTACAAGACAGAAAAACTGAAATAAGGAATTCCCTTGCTATATCATCCCTGCTGGAAACACTTGACCTCAGCTTCAGGACACTAATTTAAAACTCTGACTGTTCTTAAAATTTGGACTTCCCCTAGTTTATTATTTTAAGAGCACCACCACTGCACCTGCTTTTTTCTTATTACAACTATTTAAAATAGGGTTATGATTTTGTAATGCTACTTTTTAAAAGCTGAAATGGAAGACAGGTATAATACTTAGAAGACCTAATAGACCTAATGTTCTAAGACAGATCTTTTGTATTTAGACTAGCCCTAACGTAGCATTAAGAGAAGCCTCTTTTCCAGGAAATGCATATTATTATCACTATTTATTAGGGCTTCCCACTACTCTGAAGTAACCTTCCTCTGAGAGCACTTCTTATTAGACAAAGCCAAGAGTTTATTTCACATTAACCTCAGCGTCAGCATTCTGGATAATGGGGAAAGGTATAAGGGCATAAGCTTGATCTTTGTTACCAGACTGAGATCAAGGCAGCAAGAACGAAACATTTAAGTTTGCCATTATACAGAGAAGTTTCTGCCTGTGAGTACCACCAGATACCAGAAATACTTTGAACTGGTACATTTGATTTAGACTGCCCTATTTCCTACAGCTACACAGCATACACCCAACTTTCAGTGAGTTTGTGGTAGACTTAAGTCAGTCCTTTTGTCCAATCCCCAGGATAAGCCAGATGCACAATGTTTTTGGAGCCAAATCTAGTGACATTCTAAATCATCACCAGAAAAGTTAAGCAACAGCATGGTCTAACAAGCAAGCACCGTGCTGGGAACCACAAGACTGATTGCTTGGCCAGCTCAGCTGCTGCATTTGTGCACTACTTTTATTAAGCTAGTGCTCTTTCCACTACCGCCCTTTGCCCTGCAGCACCGTGAACTCTCTGCATATGGATTTTCTGCTAGCATCTGTTGATATATATGATGTGTTTTATTATAGAGCTAGTAAATGAAGTTGGATGTGTCAGAGCTGGCCCCCTCTGAAGAAGTCAGTTTGGTCAGTAAGTTAGAAAGAGTTTAGTGTGCATTCAGGTTAAAAATTAACAGCGCTGTATGCTGGCCAGTTCTTTGTGAAGCTGGTATTTTCACCTGAAGCATATATGGCAAGGTCCATGAGTAAAGTCTCCTTAGCTCAAGTGGTGGTTTGCAACACGACCAAATGTTTGAGAACATTACAAACCTGTTTAATTGTTACTGCCTTTTAACACACCAACATTTGAATACACACTGCCAGTGTAGAAACTAGCAGGTTATGATCTTTACCAACACAGCTCCCATTTCAAAATCTTGATCTTGCAGTGACAAATGTATTAACCAGTGGATGACACATCTCTCTAACTGATGAGTGCTCCAACTAAATGTCCTGCTTTGGTTTTCAAGAGTCTCATACTACATAGGGCATGGCATGTTATAGGGACTGCTAGAAAGCGGCACTAAAGGGCAGCAAAAACCATTCAGGTCAGATCCTTGTGTGGTTTCTGATACAGCCTCTCTCATTTAGCTGACTGGAAATAAGTAAGAAAAGCAGGATTTCTACCATAAGAAAAGCAGGATTTCTACCGTATGTTGCACAGTCCTTGAAGCAAGGATTATATGTCATGGTTTCTGTGTATATCTAGGGTTTTAGATGAGCAAAGAAATCAAACTCCATTTTCCCAACAGCATTATGGCTTTGACATCTTTCTTAGCAAGGCAGCGGAAAACAATACGCTATTGTTTTGACATTTTGTATTTGGGTAAAACTGTGAGAGAAGCCAATACCTTGAAAGGCTAAAGGAGAAGGACGATCTTTCCTATACCTTTACGGTTCCACTTGTGCTCCCGGTTAAAAGCCTCGTCTCACTTGCATCCAGTGCCAGAGTGCTAAAACTCAGCATCCCCATGACAACCAGTAAACGGTTTGATTTTCTGCCCACTGTCAGTCAGCAAGAAGATAACAGTAGATCCTGTGTTTGAGCTAATTACCTAGGGGGAAGCAGAAACTGTGATGAAATATAAAATCTTGCTATATACATCTTCATTACAATAATGTCATACATATGTGCTCTGAACTTACAAAACACTAGAATCTGAAATGCAAATCACAGAGCAGTTGGCATTGATTTTTGTTTCTTTCCCCCCTTTTCAATTCATTAAAAAGATTTCTGATTCCATGCTATTAAAGCTCCCAGGAAGACAGCTGAGTCACTCCTTTGGAGTCATCAGCAGGAGTGAAGCAGGGCATCACCACAAATACAGCCACACGCCACTTAGGATCTGGGAAACACATCTAACAGAAGCTGTTTGGTGGTTGGGTAGATCTTTCCTTACTTCTCTCAGATGACCGACACCTTGAATAATGAATCACCAGCCCCTGGAAAGTGAAATTCAAGGATGCTGAGAAGACAGCAGCTGCATTTAGAATTCATCGGTAAGATCAGATTTACAAGTTAGAAGAAAGTTCATCTAAAATCCACCGTGATTGTTTCTTTTCTCTGTTTTGGTCAGTGGACATGAACTTGCTCAAAGACGATAAAGTCTTACTATCGTTTGCTGTAAACGTACATCAGAGTCATGTCTGACCACCTTACTTCAATCCAAAGTCAAGAAATCATCTTGCAATGCATCAGAAAGAGTCATTTTTAATCGCACTATCACAGTTATAGCCCTATTTTTAGAACATAAAACTGTGTCAGGCACTTGATACTTAAGAGGCATCATGGTGAGTCTTCTACATGTCAGCTCATGACTGAGCCACTGCTTGTGTAAAGATGCTTCATACTCACTCAGTGTTATTTTCATCTCACACTGCACTGTCCATTGCAAAAATAACTCAGTAATTTTTCCTGGAAGTAAATCCATAATACCTTCCAAATTCATTTCACAAAAGTTTCTCACTATTTCTCTGAACTTGTAAAAGACAAGATCATGTATTTCTTCATAACGCAATCCAAACCTAAGAAAATATCCTGGTTCTCACAGCCAATGCATACAACTAAACTGGAGAGACCTTATATCATAAACTAATGTTTGATCTTAATACTTTAGGCCATAAATATAATACTAATCTATTCTAGCAACAACTGGTCAAAACTATCAGAAATATTTTCTTGTATACTTGTAAAAAAATTCATTGAAGCGAGGCAGTGTGAAGCTGTCCTTTAGAAGGTCTTATTTAATTACTTAAATCTATTTGAGAAGCAATACACTTCATACTTACCACATTACAAAGACTGCTTCTGCCCTTAAAAACACCTCAAGCAGTGCAAAAACTAAACTCTGATTATAAGCAATTTTCCTTTTAACATGATATTTGGTATTTTCTTACACATTCTAAGCTCTCTGCTGATTATTGAAGGATGCTGAGAGGGCAGAAGTTGCTCAGAAAGGAAAGGAAGGGGAAAAAAGGAGATATTATCTCATATATTAAGAAATTATGCACTTTCTCAAAAATATGCTGGAAAAGTTAAAGGGAAAAACAGATCATGGGAGCTAGCATGACTCACCACAGATCACTAATTTCAGAAGGTTTTATACATACATGCGTATATATATAATGCTTTATGAGCAACTAGCAGAACACTGAAGCAAGAGCACTGAACAGTACAATCACACAAACATGAAAGGAAAAAAATTTAAAAAAATTAAAATTTAAAAGGCACACTACAGCAAGAAGCAACTTGCCAGAGTCAAAGATAAGAGGAATAAAAGGAAAACCGGGGGGAAATGTTGGTCATTAGAGAGAGAGTAAGATTTCAGCAATGCCAAGAAGGCCAAAGTGTTCAATGCATTATTTAATTAGTCCTATTAAAGATGTAAAGCAGGTGGTTAATACCAATGGCAAAAGGGTAAGAGCTCTCTGTGAAATAGGTCAGATCATAATCGGACAAGGCAGATGTTTTCAAAGTCTGAGCAGTGAACGTCAAAATCTTAACAATTGTCAGTGAGGAATCATGGAAAAAAGCAGGAAACTGGAAAAGGCAATTGCTTTCCCTGTCTGATAGAAGAGGGAGAAAAGAGATGAGAAAAGAAAAACATGACAGCATTACTTCCTTCCCGGGGCGGGGGGGAAAATCAGGAGTAATATAATCATATTACTGGTAAGCAGCAAAGGGTAACAAGAGGTGAGCAGTGGCCATCACTCACTCATCAAGAACAAAGCATATCTCATTTCCTTTCACAGCAACATAACAGAAAGAAGCCGTTAATTTCATATATCTTGATTTTAGGCAGCCATTCTCCTAATTAGTTGTCAAGATGAAACTGTTATAGGAGAGAAGCAAAGCAGGTGGATAGCCATCGTGATTTACTACCAAAATGGGAGGGCATGCTACATCACTGTGTGTCAGCACGTGGGCAGAGGTCTGGCTCCCTTCAGTGACTTCATTTACCATCTGGATGATGGAAAGGATCTGGTGACACGGATCTGGGAGGTACTACCTGCCAGTGGAGACAGAATTAGAAATCATGATAATTTTAGCTGTTACTCTCTTACAAAACCCAGAAGTTAAGGATATATTTACATATCTGCAAGACTTGTGAAGTATTAGAACTGGTAAGGCTTCCCCTGCAATACCAGTCCAGTGCTGAAGAGAGGTCCAGAAAAGATATGGATCAAGGAGAACAACAAGGCATGGGTATGGGATTATTTTAGCATAGAGGGAACTGAGGCAAGATATGATAACAATCTCCAATTACCTGAAGGCTGTTGCACCGCGAGAAGGGAATCACCTGCTGTCCATGACCATGGGAGGATCGGCAAGCACTGGGGACCTGCAATTGTGGGAAGGAAAATCTAGTTAGACATTAGAAAAAGCTTTTTTAAAGCTTCTTTTTTTTTTTCTTCAGGAGAGCATAGGTCTATAATAAATTATTTGAGGAATTAATGAAGACTCCGTTACCAGAAGTTTTTAATATGTTAGAACAACTTTTAATGGCACAGGGCTGCCTCCCGAGACCCCACTTCTCTTCTGTGGCCAGCGTCCAGCAGGCAGAGGCTTATGATCGACTCATCTGAGGTGATTTAAACAAGGAGTGTGAGAGAGAAGTTCATATCTAGTGATAAAGAAATGGGGGGTGGGGGGATAAATTAAAAGAACTGACATCAAGAAATGTAAGCTCTGTTGCCGACTATGTCACAATTGTCAGCTAAAAGGCACAAGAGACCCAGAAAACGTGGTTGTACCCCAATATGAGAGAAAGTCAGAAAGATGGGGGAATTGGTTTAGCACTGGACAGTTATGGTTACAGCTCCAGACAACTTCTAGAAACTAAGTTTCATTATTGCTCTTGTGAGATTTGATTACCAAAGCAGTAAAATTCAAGATTTACTTGACCTAACAAGCATTTCACAGCAAAGTTAGCAGACCGGTTGCTTCGGTGAAGGCTTACCTATTCAAGCTTACCCATGGCCAGTGTGGGAGCAGTTCAGGATATGATTACTTGTGATCGCAAAGGTAGCATTGAATTTAGCATTAAATTCTATGCCTTGCTTCTTAGCTTTTGCAAAGACCAGTTTTCTGGATGAGAGGTTATAGGAGGTGTCGTCGTGTCCCCCCCCTTTTAAACAATTTCAAATAGGTATTTTTATTAATACATTTATTGGTAATTGGAAACAATTTTCAGTGTATAGCTGCATAGTTAAATCTTGCCTTTTAAACTAGGCAGAGAGTATGCTAACTGAATAACTCAGTTTTTGCAATACATGCTGGTGGAAAGGGAGCATGTTGCCCAGCTTTGCCTGACCCTTCGCACATGGTGACACTTTTCCAGTATGGTAAGAAATGAACTTTTAGATAATACAATTCTGTATCTATCAATGGGTGATATTGAACATGCCAAACTCAATAGACGTACTTACTGGAAGACAGATGCTGCTCATTTCAAGAAAATCGGCATCTAAAATTGAATGAGTAGAAGACTAAATAGCAGAGGGGAAAATAAAACATAGGGCAGAGGACATCAAAGGCCCATACACCAGTGTAAGTGAAGATGTACATTTACAGCCCAGAAAATGCAAGTTTCACAGGTACCTGCCCTAGATATACTTATCATCTTCATATCCACGCATGGCTCCAGATACTAAAAAGCAAAACTAGCTTTAGTAATAAAAAACACAAGCCACAGGGCAAGAAATTAGGTTTAAATCTAGACACTAACTACTCTAAATATCTGAGGGAAATAAATCTGTAGTCTAGATCACATCCATTTATAGATGCGAGACAGATTTGCTCTATGGAAGAGGCTGATTCATCTAAATAGACTACCAGACATATTTTAAGCTTTTCTGAGATGATTCTGTTCTCTTTTCACATGGGTATTACTTTATTACAAGCTTTCTTGAACCAACGTTTAATTTCAGAAAAATGAACTAAAAATGCAACATTTCATGTCAAATCCATGATGCTCATTGCAGCCAGAATTAGCTGTGGTATTTAAGCATCTATTCCCAAATCACCTTGCACCAACATCTTATCTTGTTTCTCTGAGCCTCTCCAAGTAGTTATGTGAAATGCTGTATGCAGAAATGAGAGAGAGATTGATAAATGGTACACAGCAAGCAAAAAGATTTCTAACAACGAATAACCACCATTTTTTCCCCAACTTCAAATAGGGAATTTTTCAAATTTTAAATTTAGGCTTAATTTCACAAGGGACTACTCTTGATAGAAAGCCCAGACTATTCGAGCAGTAGGTGTTTCCATTTAGCAAGGGTAAGATTTTTTTCCCCCAAGTATTGTATACAGCAATATTTTAGAATCCCAAAATAAAAAATACCATTTCTCCCATTCACAGATATCAACTTCTCCATTACTCCTGTTTTAAGCATGACAAATATGCAATAAGAGGGACACAGAAGTATATAGTCTAAAGAGATTGAGATGAAGAACCATCACTCAGCCCAGCATTGATACAGGTCTCCAAGACAAAGGCTGCTCAGTGCTGCCATGTTGGTATCGCCTTCTCGGCAGCATTTTGTATCACAAATTACTGTCTGTGTTCGGGTATTTAACTTTTCGGTGTTACATCAGAACAAACTGATCATCCAAATTCAGGCATGCATCTAATCTTTGAATACCACTACCAAAAAAATCCCTATAGATGTTTTTGTCCCCAAAATAAAAGCATCCAGTGATGCTGCTGTTTTAAGGGAATTAGTCATCCTTTCCTTTTGATTCTGATTTTGTGGCTCACAGAGCCTTCAATTTCAACAGCCAAACTGAAAACATACGTACCTTGAAAAGAGCGTTCTTCTTGCTAAGTAACACTTTATTAATAACAAAATTAATTTTACACTTAATATTCCAAATCCCTTTGAAGTCTTAAACAGAAAACATACAGGAATTGGTCTATTGCCCAGGGAACTTCTGCTACTTCCATGATAAATGCATACCTATCTTTTATAGCATTAGAGTAGTAAAAGAAGAACTCTTAGTCAATTATAAATGGGAGAGGATTTGCACCGGCAAAATACAAGTCATAGCTGAAAACCAGGTAGGATACCAGTGCTAAAGACTCAGCTTTTCTGTAACTTCTTCAGCCATTGCATGGAGTTAGACTTACCTACCATAGCTGAAAATCATTCCCTTCAGTAGCCCATTTACCCCAAGTCCTGTATCTCCTCCTTATCTGCTCAAACGCTGACTTAGTTCATATATGTGTTCCTATAAGGCCTCGCAGAAGGTTGCTATTACCTCTTCTGGCTCTAAGCCTGCACCACTGTTTTTCTGTTATGGCATGGTGCATCTAGACTGAGCTAGAGACAAACAATTTTCCACTTACATGCTGGCAAGTGACATTTTGATTCAGCTTCCCAAGACAGGAAAAAACTCTCAAAAACCGATCTTGCCTTTGGAGCCTGATCCAAATACAAACTACACTTGAAGATGATAGATTTCAAGTGCACCAAAAGCTATTTGGGAAAGACAATTCAGCCTACAATTTACCAGCATAAGCTCCAATGATTCTAAAAGCTGTTTTAGCGCTGAGTGATGGCTGACAAAAAAATTGTAAAGGGATAATTGCTAACCATACAGGCTCCTATGAAGAGATTGCATTAGTGTCCCCATTAATGAAACAGCAAAGTAACTTCTTGTAAACAGCTTAAAATAATCTTAACTTCTCTTAAATCTTTAGGAGACATGTTTAAAAAACATTTGTTTCTTTAACCTGAAAACACTCTGTCCAGAGGGAAAGGATTCTGAATTGTGCTTTCAGACAGGTGGGCACACATAGATGGCTTTGACAGCAAGCTAGATCACCGGCTGCTTTTCTTTGTTTTTTTTCTTTTTCTTTTTTAATGAGATTGTAGCACTGCTGCCATGCTATAAACATTCATTTGCACCAAACAAAGTGATGAAAAATGTCACAATACCCCATATCAGAACACAATATGCTCTAAGGTTTGCATCTCAAGCAGTAGATAAAAGATGCTGTTTGGGCTGAGCTCTAGAAAATGTTATCAGAGACGTTCCCCTGTATGGCAACCATGGTTCTTCATTGAGATGCAGGTAGTGCTTCGATACCAAAGACTGCAGTGCATCATTAAAGTACTGTGAAGACAAACAACACTCATGCTGCATACCAAGCGGTGTTACATTTAACTGAATCATTTTAGTATGAATATATCCAGGTCTGCCACTGTGAGCCACTTGTGTAAAACGTGCTGGCAGAAATGGATCTGCACTAATTACATTTCATGCATATTTCAGAATTAACCTCAGGGATATGGAAAGGTGGCAATAAAGAGGAATTTTATAACCAAGTTGATTTGCAATTGGCAGCCACATGAAGACTAGCTTTCCTCAGAGATAACCCTAAAACGTCTCAGATTAGGAGTTTTATTTCTGTTATGGTTGTTTCACTGAAGCACAGGACACATGAAGATTTTGTATCTCTTTGAAACACCAAACCTTTGTCAGAAACTAAACTGCTTTCAGATATGAAAGGCTGGAGGACTTCACCTAGTGTGCGAGTGCCACTAAAATTTAGAAGCAGACTATCCATATTTCTCTCCAGGTCGTGTCGCAAAACATCACAATTAGGCTACATCAGTACGAGATAATTTCCTATCCAAAGTAAAGGGTTGTTTCTTTTCATCCCTCTGAACTTTCTGAACTCTCTTCCAAGGACACACTTTCCAGCTTTTTTTTCAGGGAAATGCAGAAAGGTCGGTTTGCCTTTTTCCTTTACCTGCTTCAAGACTGAATTGCACGGGACACAGCTAACAGCTTTCCCGCTGCCTCTGACCCTTCTACTAGTTTCCTGCTCTGTTTCCAGTATCATCAGTTCACTGTTAAATGAGATAAAGGGGCACCTCTGAGCTTCATTAAAATAGAGAGAGAAGAATGGGATTTCGGATCTCTGGGAACAAGCCAGCAATCTTCTGGATGCGCAGCTGATGCTGAATGCCCCTGATCCTCAACACCTGTGAACATGATAGAGAAATCACCAATTATCTCCAGTTTTTGCTTCAGGATGGGATTCAGAAATGAATAGCTCACACTGCAGAAGGTCTGCCTTGCTTATTATTTTCCTCATTTACCACTAAACACATTTTGGTTGGCTTTATAAAGAGTTGTCAACCACTATTTTCCATTATTATTTGTTTTGTATCAATAGCCAGGGCCCTGTTGTACTATTATTCATTGCATGAATACACAATATATTCCAGTGATATCCTGTTCCTACTCCAGCACGTTATATTTTGTGGCTTTCACATTCCTTTACAAAAGATTTTACATTTGTTGTATGGAGCAGCAGAGAGGTTTGTGACTTGCGATACACATGATTGTGAGATGGGGCAGCGGGGACACCTGAAACAAAACACCTAGTGCACAGTTGCCCGCAGTTGCAGGGGAATCATCTCAATGATCCCATTTAGCCCTTCTAGTCATCTGTTCTTAAGACACAGCCTTTGTCTAGACAGGCTTATGTACTGCATGTTCAAAGGGTGGGGAAAAAAAGCAAACAGGTGATTTATCCAAGGTCACAAAGTAGATAAAGGGCACAGTTCGCAATCAGTCCTGTTTCTGATCTCAGTACAATGTCTCAGCTAATGAATCACGCTCATTTTCTTTTCCACAGTTCTTGCCTTTCTCATTTGATGTGTCTGCATTGAAACGTATTTGTTTTATAATCAGGCAAATAAGAGGAAGCAAAGCCATTATGTCTAAAATCTCTTGCTCTTGCACACAGAAAGAAATTAGAGTTATCAGAGAAAAGTCGAAACATCAGCATTGGCAGACCTATGTTTTACAAGGGTCTCCGAAGACCTGGAAATATCATACATGAGCTCTGCAGCCAATAAGGCTGGTTAGGAAGCGATACGGTAAAAATCTCCTGTGGAATCATTCAGGGACTGATGCAAGAGACTAGCGGCTTAGATGGAAATATCATCGTCTGTTGTGCACATAAATGAACAGGCAATTTCTAAACCAATATTTACTTGGTATGTTGTAAAAGGCTTTTAATAAGTCTATGGCAGTAACTGCTACAGATCATAGGAAATTGCCCTTTCTGCAGGGATGACAGGGGGTCCATTCTTTGTAGCATTCGTGAAAACATACAGCTGCAAGATATCAACAACTAAATGCAGACAAGTAATCGACATGCAGGCTCCTTCAAACAGAGTTCACCACGCGTTTTCCCTGGATCCCTTTCTGCAAGAGGCCATCCAGGAGAGGCAGAGATTTTGTTTAACGAATTATCCCATTTCTCAGAAAATGAGTGGATGACATCCTTGATATATTATCTTAAAATCTGAACATTTATTATAGTGGTAATCATACATAATGTTTTTTTCTTTTAATTCCATCTTCAATTACCTGAAATTTCACCAAACTTATTTTCCAAACTGAATCTTCTCTTTTTGCAAGCTGATTTGTCTTTTGAAATCACAGCCACCATTTAACTGATGCGATAATTCATTCTGATGGTTATACGCATAGAGGTGAGAGAAATATTGGTGCAATACACAATCATAGCCACCATAATAAATCATGGTAAATTAGTAGAGAGAATTAATTTTAAAATTTTTAGCATAACAATTAAGATGAACTGAGAGCAGAAAGCAAAAGCATAAACTCCTTGGACAATACTGAAACACATAGTTGTAAATGAGACTCTCTCTCCACACCAGCACTAGTATATTAATAACACTCGTTGCACTTGAAATAAAGTCATTTGACAAAGAACTATATGCAACCATGAAAAAAAAAAATTTCAAGAAATTGATCCATATGGAACTAGGCACATGATTAAGAAAGATATTAAACTTCACCTGCAGGCTGATACCAAGACCGTTAAAGAAGTTCCCCACGTTACAATGAACCGCATTTAGCTTGAGTAAGTCCCAGAGATGCTGGATCCTGCAAGGTCCCAAGCGCTCCTGCTTCAATTTAAGACTGCTCACATGCTTAAGTGTGTTTCTGGAGACCTGCCAGGGTTCTTAGCATATATTAGGTATGACTCTATGGAGAGCAAGGACACGTACTTGACAACATGCTGGATAACATACATTTAATCCTGCGAGATATTCAGTGGCGTCAACCCTTACAGGCTCAAAGTTGTAGGAGATCCACTGTTTTACAATGGACTGAGAAAGGAATCCACTGTGGTGAAACACACTGCACTGCTATGCGGTATATATAGCTTATATAGTTAGGATCCATATAGAAAGAGTGAATGCTGGCAACTGACTTGGGAACCAGTGCTTCTAAACCATTGCCGTTTCTTTCTAAACACAGTTCTGAAGTGCTTTCTCATAAATTACCTCAATTTTGTCCATGCTGTTAGGCTAGTTACTCTTCACTTGGCAAAGCAAAACTGGTATCTAATATTTACAGTGTACACTAATTATTCTTCCACAAATACACGGTTACTCTACAGTATGATGATGATGGGATCAAAATGCATAACTACCTGAGAAATCCCCATGTTTTTTTTTTCTAGTTAAAACCCAAATGCATTTTTAATTTTTGCTCTGCCATCTGTATGGAAAGACAAATGAGGAAGTTTAAAAGCCTGACGGTTGCTTGAGGACTCGAAGCTGCAAGGTTGTAAGTGGCATTTATGAGAAGTTGTGTTTCACGAGCTTGGTAATTTGCAGTTTGTTACAAAGACATAAACTCGTTTCCAACTAAATCGTATTGTAAGTCATGCTCCTCAGAGAACGTCTGACTAAAAGGTGATGTTAAAGTAATTTCCATAACATCAAACTATGTGACAAATTAAAAACTTCATAGAGGAGAATACTGAGGAAAAGGAGCAGGCTGAGATGGAACGAATTTCTTTATCGTAGTGCTCAAAAGGGGAAAACTCCGATATTGCTCTGAAAACTGCCAATGCTAAATCCATTTTTAAAAGTGCAGCATTTGATTTTCAACTGTTTGACAATGTCTTACTCCATTCTTAGAAATCGTTTTTCAGTAGCATCCAGATACTTAGCAAAACGTTCTCCAATGAGCAGACTCCTGGCAGGTACGCACCAGCGCAGTCTCTGTGGTTTGGGAGTTTCATTGCACAGGGGTCTGGCCCCCAAAGTTATCTTTTAATAAGCAAGATGAAAAACAATCCTTGCATCCTAAGTGAAGGATTGAATCTGCAGGTACTCTGGCAATCATAACTGCTCACTGAAATAACGTGACATACTGAGGGGAAAGATCATTTGATCATTCAAGAAAAAAAAATTGCAGCCTTCCTCTAAAGAACTAGCTGATCATTCACACAAGGAAACTAGAGCAGTGAAGAAAATAACTTGTACTTGCCACAGACAGACCTAACTTGAGGAGGAAAACAAAGAAAGTTTCTGTCAACCTTGAAATTTCAAATCAGGACATTTATTATGGTAGTTGCACCAACTGCAACATGGAGATCCCATCTGATTAACAATCCCTATCTGGCAGGTCTTTACATTTTAGTATGACTGCTGTGGCTATTTTCCTTAATGAGACAGAATCTCTTATGAGAGATTGAAAGACGTAAATGTGTACAACTTGGGTATGTGACAAATAAGGGGGTGACAAAGTGTGAGAGTCATCGAAGGCAGCCAACGTAAATAGAAAAAACTGTTTAGTGTAGTACAATGATCATAAATGTGAGGAATGGTATGCAGCTAGGATGAGGGTAATTTATCCTGAATATTAGAAAAAGCTCTAACAGTGAGACTGAATTCATGTTCTGTGCTGTCAAGGGAATGGACTAAATGACATGAGAGTTTTTTCCTCCTGTAATTTCCATCATCTTATGATTCAGTTATATATTTCCTTCCTACCTTTGCTTTTCATTCAGGTCACGCATAGGTACAGTACTAGAACAAACCTCCTCAGCAGTGGGTCAAAACCTGTGATGCTGTGAGCAATATATTATAAAGTCTTTCCAGAAACTTAATAATCTCTCACTCAAATGCAGTAATGTCAATTGGACATTTTCTTGTTATTTGATAGTTTGTGTTTTCTTCTTACAGTTCCCACTGGACAGCTGTACTAAAACTAGCTGCCCTAATGATAATTGCACACCTAAATCATTCAAGGCCGATTTATACGTGTTCTTGTGCCAGTACTGTCCTTTCACCTGACTTTTTTCCACCCCATTTATTACCCTAAAATATATATGAATGCCATCATAACCTCCCTCAGCCTAGAAAGACTTACCAAAAAACTCTAGGTTTACAAAGAACGAAACACTCTCTGCAAAAGATTGAGAAGAATGAGCTATTCTCATAGGTCATTCTACATTCTCTCTGCCTTCTCATTTCCTCAGTGAGCTATTTTTCATTTTAAACTGATTAAAAGTCATTATAGAATTATCAAAATATAATGACGACATTATGTTTAAATGCTAATGAGTGTCCAAACATTAGTATCTCCAAATGTTAGAATGACTTCATGCTGATCATAAGCTTTATATCGAAGTTTGTATGTAGCAATGCTCCTGTACAAGCTCTCCAGTACAGTCTGTACAGAGAAAAGTTCTTGCTGGAATTTGGGTTACAGAGGCAAATCTGTTTACTTGCAAAAACAACAGCTATAGAAGAGCCACCACAAAGAAAAAATAATGCATTCAATAACTTACATATCCCTCTAACAACATGGATTATACAGAAACTTCCATGAATTGGTTACTGGTTATTGTTGCTACCAACTGGTAGTAGCATGTCTGATTGCTACAGGCGCCTGCTCTAATCTCTTCCCAGTTGACCCCTTTCATCCTGGAGACTCTAAAAGGGCAAGAAAATAACTACAGTATGTCTTCTGCTGCTCACAAATCTAAAATCGTATTTACCAAGGAGCCAAAACAGCTTTATTCAGAGTTGTATCCATGCCACCAGTTCTTAAAGGTCCCAAAATATCTTGATTGTTATAGTCTTTAAAAGAACCCATCTGTAGTTTTTAATTATCAGCACAAAATAATACACATTCAAATAATAATTCTTGTCAGCTTTGTCCTTAAGCATATAAAGAGCGCTCTGAGGTTGACACAAAAGTGTTCAGACTCAGAAGACCAGTCCTGATCTCACCATAAATATTGAAAGGCTGTGCCAACACGCAATAATGATGCAGTAAGATCACTATTTGGAAAAAAAAAAAAAAGAGGCACATATATATTTAGAACTTTAGACAAAATTGGTAGTTCTGGAGACTTCCCTGATGTTCAGGGATGAGTTTATTCCACTGTAAGGGATGAAACGTAAATGCCACCACTTGCTATAATCTGCAACTGTAATGCCAAGAGTAAATTTCATACATTCTATTTAGTTCAAAAGAAGGTAATTCCAACACTTCAATTCCCTCGGGAATATACAGTGGTTTTGCCTTCTCTGTGGGCCAGTCACTCTGCTGAAACTCCAAAAGGTGCAAATTAATTCCAGTTTTAATGAGGGTTGTTTGGGGGTTTTTTTGAGCTTTGGACGCCTGAGACCACAAGCTTATTTCAGATGATCTATTGAATAGCTGTCGGATGGTAACGATTTTTGCTTGCTGGGCTCAACCCGATCTGTTGAAATTGGCTGGAAGCTTCTGTATCTTATTAGTAATCTCCTAAGCAATTATCCTAGAGCACCCATTTTATCTTGATTTCTTCAGTTGTCCTTTACCAGCAAGTAGTATGTACTTACTTTGGGCAGGGGGTAAGGGCAAGGCGGTGGAGAATGAAGTTAGGAATACAATTGCATCTCTTCATGACAAATTCCTGTCTAAACTAGTAAATGCTGACTCTCATTTTTATGTTAAATAAAAATATGAGAAATAAAGTGAAATTCAGCTTCATAATACTTGTGTAGAAAAGTCACCACTAATTCTTGTATCAATTCTATTAATATTTTCTTATTGCTATTTCTACTAGTCTATATGTTACATTATCACGATAGTCTAGACTGCAAATGATATATTTGAAGAATAACTTGTTTCACTCATGACAATGAGGATCTCTGCTTTGTGAAATGTAAATATACCCTGATTTTCTCAGGTGCCAAGCAATCCACACTAAATACTTTGCCAGTGGGGCAGTAAGAGCACAGACGGAATAACTCATGTTGTGTCTTGGTGGCTGAAACCTGAAGTCAAAAGGAAACAAAACAAAATCATTTTTCTTATCATGATGTATAAAAAGTCTTCAAGCCGAATCATGAGTTTTCTTCTCCTAGAAATGGTTTAATTCAGACTTTTTAAAAAAAATAAATCAATGCCTAAAAATTAAATTTCTAAATGTAACATTTTTTAAAAAGGGTAAAACTTTATTTTGCAAGTGTTGCGCTAAGTAATCTTGACTTTTTTTTAATAAATAATATTCCCCCCCATATACACACTTTTATTTTGCTAGTTAAGTACAAACTTTGATCCATTTTTACAGCTAGTTTCAATCAGTCCAAAGTGGCACTTTTTATTCCAAAAGAGTTTTGTGGTCGAAGAAGCTCACTTAGCTTTACACGAGAATGGAGCTTCAGTACATCTATTCAATATATCATCACAGGCTCCAGGTCACAACCCCCTTCCAAGCAATTTACAATTTGTAAGACCTCTATAGAATGATAAAGGGAATTGCTGTTGTCTTACACCCCTGTAGTAAATCATATATACATACACAATGAGTTTGCACTATCCAGGTGCTTAAGCATTTACTCCAATAGGACCATCAGCACTATCTCTAGCTGGCTGCAGCCAAATTATTCCATTAGAAAGTCAGAAAAGCCCAGACATCCCCCCTGCCACACACATGCACACCAAAAATAAATAAAAAAGAAACTGCAGTATGCAAAGGAAGGGGAGAAGTGAATTCCTGGCCCCAACCAGTGACCAGCAAAAGCATGTGACGGATACAGTGCAAATATTTGTGTGGACAGCAGTCACTCAATAGCCTTTAACCTGCTTCCCTTACATATAGATAAGCTTCAGGTATTTATAGACTTTAACTAATTTCCTGTCCCCAGAAACTCTCCCACTTAGTTCAACAATGTCTTCCAAGACTTCGAATTCCACCTAAGGCCATTTAGGTTCTTTTTCCTCATAAGGTGTTTGGAAGAACACACAACTTCTTCCTCAAATAAGGAAGAACCCCCACTTCTAGTAGCTAACCCAACTGTAGTCATCATAAAGTCATAATAATTTGATCATACAATCATATCAGCTTTTAGCTTAAGCAATTATCTTTTAATGTCTCTCAAATATTTAAGTAGAGATTCATGATCTCTCTTCTGACCTTGGTTAGGTTTTGAACAAGCCAAACCCTTAATCTCTCTTCACAAAAAGATTAATCAATTCCCTTGATCTTCTTAACTGCACTTCTCCGGTT